AGGAATTGATCAAAAAAATTAGGTATGGAAGAAAACATTAGCACAAAAGTTAGCCTACCCAGATACCATGGCAAGCTCTAACCACCACCTTTAAGAAAGCCATGTAAACCCAAGAATAGCTGAGATAAGTACCAGGAGGTTCACTCCATGGCTTGGAGGCCAGCCGCACATGCTAAGGGAGAAGGCAACTCAGACAGAGAGGGGAGCACCAAGTAAAGGGTGTTGGGAGGACCCACCCAGGATGAGAGATGCAAGCTGAAAATAGACTATAGACCGAACCTGACAGCCACTCAATGCCTCTTTTGCAAACCAGAGCACCCAAAAGAAGAGAGAAAACAAAAGGGAATGCCCTGCCACAGGGGTGGGGTGCAAGGAGGGGGTGGGGGATGGGAGGGATGCTGGGAGCATTGGGGGTAGGGAATGGGCACCGGTGGAGGGTTGGGTACTGAATCATTGTATAACTGAAACCCAAGCACAAAAATTTGTAAGTCTACAACTGTACCTCGTGGTGTTTCACTAATAAAAATTTTTTTTAAAAAATTTTAAAAAGCCACATAAACTGAAGAACTCTGTAGTAATGCAAAACAAAAAAAATTTAAATAATATGTGATGATTAAAAGAATTACTTAAAAAATTACTGTTGCATCATTCTGTGGAATTATAAGGTGAGATTAAGTTGATGTTCTCTCTGGACATAATAATCGAACCTCTACCAAATAACGCAGTCTTCTCAAAGGAGGTGAGAAAACTAATGTTTTCAAAACAAAACAAATTCAAATTTCAAATTTGAAATTCAAAACAAAACAAAACTACCACTAAAAGAGTGACTTTTATACGGAAAAAGATACTACTTGCATTACTGATATAAATTTTTGCTCTATCCACATGGGTCTATATGGTTCAGCAATCACACCAAGTGTTTAGCAGCTATTCCACCAATGTGGGATTCAGGCAATTACCAAGACATACTGAAAAGAAAAACTATTATGTGTAGAGAATATAAGAGAAGGGGAAGGAAAATAAATGCTAAACTAAAAAGACCAAGTCATAATTTGTTACTATTTTATTGGTGGAAACCATGCATTTTCATAACGTCTAATATCCCCCGAAATGTACTACTTTCTTATTACTGAACTACTTGATCATCAATGAAGAACTAAATGAAAAAAAAATGTTAAAATAAAAACTTTACAAGGAAAAAGTAGGCAGTCAGAGTATGTGGGAGTGCAATAGGTTTCATTCCACAGGTACAGTTATTTAAAAAAAAGGGAGGGGGGGAGGAGAGCTAAATGATTTAAATGTCATTAAAATACAGCATTCTCTGAGTGTGGGACAAGGGCCTGGGCCTTACTAGACGGGCATCAAAGCAGGTTTTTCACACCATATCAACATATCAAGAATGACTAATCTTTCCTTCCTGGCTTTCAATTCACACCTTATCTAGTCTAATTAAATCACAACTGCAGGTTTTTACAAGGTCTTATTCTTTGAAAATACTTTTCTAACAGATCCAGCAATACTGCATTAAACCCATACTTGTCATGAAAAGAAAAGAGTAATGACACAAAAACTAAAACCAAGTCTCATTAAGTCTTTCATTTCCCTAACAGTCCAAATACCCAAGTATTTTCAACATCAAACCAATTTCTTAAAGGCTGAAGGCTGAACTTTCAGGAAAGATATTCCATTGTCTAAATCTAAGAAATAGAAACTTGAATAATTAATATCTCTCAAATAATACCCTTCAAATCAACCTGTTTGATAACTTCTGTGTTTTCCTTTTCTTTTGGATCACACCTGGTTGGGCTTGGAAAACTGTATGTGATACAGGTAATAAATTCCAGGGAGGTGCATGCAAGGCAAGCACGGTACCTGCTCTACAATTTGTCCGGCCCCCTATTTGATAATTTCCTGCATCACAGTGTCGACTGTCCACACAGGCACCCTTCCTCCACTATATAAAAGCATTCCTATTTGGAATGACTTGGTAGGTTATTTGGGGGAACTAGGAATGCTTTCTCTTTTTCTTTTTCATAGAAATTAATGGTCAGAGTAGTGTTGGATGCCAAAAAGAATCTACTTTTGTCATACTAAACAGATATAGTCAACTTTTGAAAATAGTGGGGAACATCTGTACTAGACAATAGTTTTTAAGTTTTCGTGCTATAACTAAACACCTTGAATTTGGCAATACTAGTCATAGTTTGTAAACTGATTAATAAATTTAAGCTATAAACTTCAGCGGTTTTTTTCAACATAAGAAGTACTTGGCAGGGGAGACAAGCTCAGTATTAGACCACTTGCCTTGCATGTGTGAGGCCCTGATTCTAATTCCCAAGAATTGCCAAGAGCAACCCATAAGCACCATGTCAGGAATAGCTCTTAGCACAGCTAGGTGTGGTCCCAAACCAAAAATTAATTGAATAAAAAATAAAATGTGGAGGAGGGAATGTAGCTCAGCTGTGGAGCATTTGATATGCATGTGTTTGGGCTTGGATTTAGTCCCTCCAACCATAAATAAAATTTTTTAAAATACCCTTGTGATGGCTGAGAAAATGGGACAATGATGGGAGGAAGGTCACTGGTGATGAAATTGGAGTTCGAATATTGAATGTCTAATGAACACAACATAAACAACTTTGTAAATCACAGTTTAAATAAAGTACAGGGGAAAAAACACCCTTGTGAATAACAAAGTTACTGCAGACTAGCTTGAACCCATATTTTCTCTAAGTCTAGGTATGTAATTATCTAGAACCTAATCCTTGATTTTAAAAGGTGAACTACAATTCTTTTCTAAAAATACTCAGTACACTTTCCCATCATTGAGGGGGGCACGGAAGGTAAATGAGTGAGTTTGGCTCATGCCACAATAAAAAAATTAATACTGACTGAAAATAGCTAACATATATTGAATATTGTTATTAAATATAAAGGTATATTTATATTGAATATATAGAATATTTTAAAATATACTGAATATTTACTATAAGTCATTGAATATAAAGGTACATTTACGAAAGGTATTTTCATTCCTCCGCCCCTCTTGGAGAGCCCAGCAAGCTACGGAGAGTATCTCGCCCGCACGGCAAAGCCTGGCAAGCTACCTGTGATGTATTCAATGTGCCAAAAACAGTAACAAGAAGTCTCAAAATGGAGACATTACTGGGCCCGCTCGAGCAAATTGATGAACAATGGGAGGACAGTGACAGTGACATTTTCATTCCCAAATTTTAAGATAACACAGGCAAAGTTAAGTAACTTGCCCAAAGCCTGTTAAACAGATGTGACTCCAGTTATGTGAAGCTTCTAAGGCTCTTAACTACTATGCTTATACTGGATCAAAATACTGCAACTCAGTGCAGTATTTTGGTCTAATACTGAGCTTGTCTCCCCAGTCAAGTACTTCTTATGTTGAAAAAAACCACTGAAGTTTATAGCTTAAATTTATTAATCAGTTTACAAACTATGACTAGTATTGCCAAATTCAAGGTGTTTAGTTATAGCAAGAAAACTTAAAAACTATTGTCTAGTACAGTCTAGTACAAAAGTGCACTCTGCCACTGGTACCCCTAACTTTTCTTTTAAATAATCATTTAAAAAAATAACAGAAAAAAAAGCTTTCCTCTGGTTGGGGGGCACACCTAGTAATGATCAGGGGCGACACCTGGCAGTACTCAGGGACAATACACATGGTGGGATCTGAACCATCGTCCTGGTAAGCTACAGTAAGTAAGTAAGGCAAAAGTGTCTTAACTTCTATACTATCTCTTCAGATCAAGATAATGTTAACTTCCTTTTGGTGAAGCTTTTAAGAAAAGTCTTATCAGTACAGTTTAAGTGACACTGTTGCAACTCTGTTAACGTTTACTGTTTTGATGTAGTTACTTCATCTCACCACAACAAACGTGCCCAAGACTCCACTATGCTTCAGTCTAGTATACCTCCTTATCTAACCTCCACGCTGTCTTTTAGGCAATCATTACTTCAAAAGCCAAATGATCATTCACAGTTAAGATAAATATTTTAAATATTGGACAAATCAGTTTGCTGAATTTTTGCTCCTCTTAGAAATGAACATACTTAAACGCAGTTTCATTCCTTTAGGACTATTTAAGAGCACTGACGGCCACCAACATCATCTGAAAGGCCATAAATCAAGGATCATCTGTGTTTCTCATCCTCTGGCCCCTGCAGCTAATGCTCTTCCTTCTGTCTTCATCATCAAAGCCCCACGAGCAGCAAACAATTCCATCCACCTACACTTGCGCCCAAGTAGCAGCAGTACTGCCCCAGGTCCAACACCAGCGTCATCCCTTCCCGACTGCCCCTCAAAAGACCACCCTCTGGTGGGTCAGTGGGCACGATAAAGGACTTGGCCAAACTACCAAATCGTTATATCAAAGTCCCTTTCTTTGATCGTAACCGCCGTTTCAAGCCACCACAGGTCGACTCTCCACCGCGACCTGCATCCTGGGGCCCACCGGCCTGGGACACTCACCAAGCTTTGCGGTCAGGGCCCCGGGGTGTGTGTGCGCGCGTGGGGGGGTGGGGGGGCATCTATCTGCTCAGCTCCCGGAGTGGGCATTCACAGTAAAGTCCCCTCCATGAATGGAAGGAAGGCAGCGCGGGTGAGGCAGGAAGGGGTGGGTGAGGGGATGTGAAGGAATGTCCCGCGGCTGAGACCACTGCGGAGACGACCCCGTCTCGGGAGGGAGAGGCGGCGGCGAGTGGCCGACCGAGAGAACCCACGACAGGGACCAGCCCGGCAGCGCAGGGAGCTGCTCGGCAAGCAAGCGCCATCGGTCGGACGCCGGCTTCGGGAGGACGCGGACACCGTCTCCGCAGGTCCGGGTAGCGCGCCCCCCCTCCCCGCCCCCGGGCCTGGGCCGGCGCCTCGGCCGCGCTCGCGGACTCCCAGCCTCCCGCACGACACAGGCAGCCCCGACCCGTCGCTCCTCCGAAGCCATGGGCTGACCAGGGGACCCACGCGAGCTCACCTGACACCCCAGCCGCAGCAGCGCGCTCGGCATCCGGCGCGAGATTGGCAACCCCGCAGGTCCGCGAGATCAGCTGATTCACGCCAGGCGGAGCCTCGGGGCAGGGGCGTGTCCGCGGGGCCGCGAGCGCTAGTGGAGGTGGGCGGGGCAATCTCCCGAAGTGGGCGGGGCCAGACGCCGACGGCATCCTATAGGGGTCAAACTTACTCCAGCGGACTCGGCTCTGTGTGCTGGGTTCCCAGCTCCAACTTTTCTTCCTTTACGACTGGGGGCGGAGCTACCATCCAAGAGCAGCGCTGGGTCGATGAAGTAATGCAGAGTCCCCGGGGCCTGTCTTCCCGAGCGCTGCCGTGGTAACAGATGGAATAGGAGTGGCTATCATTTTATTGTCATCTCAAAAATTAAAAGGATAAATGCGCTACTTAAAAAAAAAATAGGGAGAAAGACTAAAATAGCTTCAGACTTGTCTCCGTGCTTTGCATCCTAACCGCGGTCTACTCCCTGCCGTCCGTGAATGATGTCATCGCCATGCAGCTCCGGTGGACCCCGGGTTTTTACTATATGACTGCAGTTCAGCAGGATTTCGTAAGCGGGCAGACATCATTGGCTTCCCTTCGGACCCTCACAGAGCTCCCCAATATACAGACTAAAAGCAGTTTGCTTGCCCAGCACAGTTTCACAGCTGGCCAACCCAAATCACACCCTTTGTGTGCTCTCAGAAACATTTCCCAGAACCTCCACTTTCAGTGCACAGTGGGTGCAGATTCTCTGCTGCATCTACAGGCGTATGTTCAGATCATTTACAACAGACGCGGTCAGGGTCTGAAGCTCTGAAGCGTTCTTGCAGTGAAGTGTCTACTCAGTTCAGATGCCTTGTTGAGCCTGCACTCATCTACAAAGCTACGAGTCTGCAATTGTTTTAACAACCTTGTCCTCACTAGCACTAGGATGCTAGAAAACGCATAACCATGAGAATTGTCATATGGTTGCAAATCCATGGTTTCCAACTTCAATGGATCTTCCAGGGTGCCAATAACCTTGGAATTCCCCAGTATTTCCCCATTTCTCCTACTTCTGATCCCTCCTATTCCCAACAGCAAAGTCTAACTTCTTATTGAATTCTACTTAGCCACACCTTTTGGTAAAAATCTAAAACTTTTTCTTAGATTTATGAAGATGAAAGCATTAGGGATGAGTTTCCTAACTCCTATTACCTCCAGCCCAAGCCTCCTTTACTTCTGGTATCTCCAGTGTTCTGCATTCTCTAGGTTAATCCTTCCACCAGCACTTGAGACTCCTAATTCTCCCTATAGATTTTGCGCCATTGTTTTCTCTTTCCTTTTGTGCATTTTTGATCTCTTTTAAAATCACTTTCAAACTTACCTTTTCAAAGACTAAGTTTTACTCTTAAGTATAGGTTAACCTGTTCTGGCCAATCCCATTTTAAAATTTTTTTCCTTTTCCTTTCCACTGCAACCAACTTTTCTAACTCTACCTTCTAACCTCCCTATCATCCTTCCTTTCTCCCACCCCTTTGGTTTCTGGGCCATACCTGGGACTTGTCCCAAGATGGGTCAATAAAGACAATAGGCAAATGGGTTCCAGGCTCCCACCTCCATATAAACATTTCTCCAAGCAGGGAGGCATACCCCCACTATGCAACCCTCCGCCCCACCAGGGTCTCTCGGGTAAAAATCATGTAACTAGAGGCCACAAGCATGAGATTAGGGGGCTATTGGTAGGATAAGGGGACACAGAAAGGAAACAAGGTTGAAAGGGGCTATAGTTAGAAAAAGTTTGAGAAACACTGCTCATAAATGTCTATATGTACATGGATGGGGGCAGGGTAGTGGATAACATTCACATATATATAAGTGATATTATTTACTTTCACAGTCATTTGCTAAGAATTTCAAATAGGGATAAGATATAGTTCATACCCTCAAAGGAAATATTTAACAGCCTTTTAGAAAAACAGAAGTAGTGATTACAATGCATAATCAGTGATCCTGGAATTCAGCCTTGTTTGAGAGGAAGTCTATAAGGAGAGGGCACGCAAAAAAGCCAGGAATGCTGGATTTAAAAGATTGAGCATTGGATTATTTTGCATACCAGAGTTAGGTTTCCATCCCTAGCATCCGCTGGTGGCCTAAGCACCAAGAGGAGCCAGTCTCAAACTGAGTCAGGAGTAGCCAACAAGCATTTAGTGGGTGGCAGAAGAATCACAAACAAAACAGAGAACTAAGTAAATGTTCAAATGTTCACAGGAGAGGAGGGGTAGGTACAGGGAGGACCCATGTGTCAGATGAAAAACATGGGAAGTTAGTCATCCGAAGCTGCAGCTTTAGTGCAAAGAACTACCTTGCCATGGCTGCAGTACTGGGTGATTACAGCAAGAGGGGCTACTGGGTAGAGGCAGGATGTGGTCACATTGTCAGCATCAAGGCTGAGGAACTTAAACTTGATTGCATAGGTAAGGGAAGGTGTTTATTTTATTTTTAATCACAAGTGATCCAAATGAATGTTGAAAACATCAGAAAAAAATGGGAGCCTTTCAACATAGAGTTATGTTTTATTTCCACTTAAGCATTAATATAGAGGTATTGCAGGGGTGTGTGTGTGTGTGTGTGTGTGTGTGTGTGTGTGTATTACAGTCTTGGTGCTTCCTGAGTTAGATCACATTTCTCAAGTTTAAGCCAGATAAAAACAACTTAGACTCTTGTATAAAAAGGGAAAAAGAGGTATGCTGGGCCAGAGATAATAGAAATCTTCTACTGCACATGGTTTACCAGAATTCAATCCCTGACACCACATATGGACCCCGGAGCTAGCCAGGAGAGATCCTTGAGTGCAGGGCCTAGAGTAAGCCCCGAGCATTGTTATGTGTGCCCTCCCCAACTCCTGCCCCCCCCCAAAAAAAACACACACACACAAAAAATTGGGGCTTGAGCAATAGTACAGGAGGTGGGGCATTTGTCTTTCACACAGAGACCTGAATTGGATCCTGGGTACTCCATATAGTCCCAGGAGACTGCCTGAAGTGATCCCTGAACTCAGAGTCAGGAGTAAACCCTGAGCACCACCCAAAACAACAAAAAGCCCCCAAATACTGAGATTCTAAATGACCAAGATTTTAGAAAAGGGGTGCCCACCTCTTATTGACATCTGGGAGCAGTTAACTCTGAGGTTAAACTTCATGCAAGAAGATAATGACCAAAATGAGGAGCAAAGATTCTCTGCAGACATATTGTAATTCAGGGCAATGATTTAAATAACAATGTGTCTACTCATCTCACACCAAAACTTAGAGAATTGAATGACTAATCACCAGATGTAGGTAAGCAGATGCTAACTTGTTATTTTTAGAATGGAAGCACATCGTTATAGGAAAGTTGTTGAAACATATATTAATACATCCAATATTATGACGTCTAAGTAGTCACTAGGACAAGCATATTTTAATAAAATTTACATATTTTAAAATACAATCAACAGCATCTGATTTTATGTATTGTGTGCCTAATGTTACACTCCTACTAGGCTTTTGCGGTCTCAGTTTTGTTGACAAACCTGCTCTAAATACACTTTAGCATTCTTATCATCTTACAATATTTCACATGTTGTTACATTTAAAGAAAGCCTTTGAGACACCGCAAAATATCTCAAATATTTGCAAGGGAGTTGTCTGAAGTTTAGGACGTTTTCACATAGAAACAGAAAGTAAAAAATAAGCTTCTGGATTAATCAATGAATGTCACTCAATTTATAACAGCCAGTCAAAAAAGTGCATTGTACCTGTAACTAAGTGAAAGCGCGCGCGCAATAATTTTGCAATACTTAGTCGTTTAAAAAAAAAAGGAGGAGGAGAAAAAGACTTAGGTATTGATGAGTCATTAACTAGGAATGCTGGTTCTTAAAGAAAGACAGGTTTTAAGAGACTCGATGAAGTCAGTTCTGCAGAAGCGGAGCTCAACTGGGGGTTCAAGGGGAAGGGGGGAGGGGTACAAAGCCCGCCCAGTCGTATTGGAGCTGAGGCCCCAGGAAAGAGCGCCCTCAGCACGGATCAAATACCCGCCCGTGTTTTCAGTCAATTGGAAAAACCTAAACAAAGCCCTCCAATTTAGGGAACTATTTATACATAAACCCCCGGGTTGCCAATCTGCTAGCTAATTCTATCAGCCCTCCTAAACGCACTGCGTGGGGCGCGCAACCGGGAACCCCGCCTGATTGGAACCTTCTGTTCTCTTTGCCCAGCAACGCGGGCAGTAGAACAAACAAGTAGCAGCTGGTCTTTATTTAAGACGTCTATATTGTATTGGTTCATCGTGGATTCTCGCTTGATTTTAATCTTTAAAAGTGATTTTTAAAATATTGCAGTCCTATGATTTGTTTTTGCTTTATCTTGATTACTGTGCTTTTATTTTGCTTAAGTTCCCTTTACGCCGTGTCCCAAACACTTGTTGGAAAGTGCCCGAAAGCTTCAGCAAAAGGAGGGGGCGGGGGTTGATTTGTCCCTCTCCCCTGCCTCCTCTCCTTTCCCCCTTTCCTCCCTCGCCCTCTTTTCTTCTTTTCTCCAGAGATTCCCGCCCCAATCCTTTCCTTTCCTCTAAAGGGTTTTAACTTTACTTTTCTTTAGATTTCCAGTTCCTTCACCTTGCTTTGGCTCGGACTGAAACCTCTGGCCTGAAGCCAGTTGGCCGCTGAGAGCAGGGAGCTGGGAGAGTATTCCAGAGGGGTAGTGAGGGGTAATTCATTTGCAGAGGTTAAAGAATACATTGATTTGGGGGACAGAGAGATAGTGCAACAGTTAGGGCTAGGGCGCATGCCCGACAAATCCCTGCCCTTGGTTCCACCCGCATGGTCTGGTCATCTGAGCCTCTGGGATGCATCCCTGGTGGCCCAAGTCGCAATCGGACTTGTGTCTCTTGCATTGACCTGTCTGCCAGGTCGGTTGAGAATCTAATGTGCATTGCTAGAAAAGGCCCAGTAAAATAAAAATATACCTCTTTTTGTTTGTT